GACTCAGAGCTGGACTATTTATGGTCACACTCCGGGGCCCCCACGACCCCACCCCCATCCTGGGGCAGGCCATTGGTTTGTGAAATCCAAGCCCTGTACTGAGTGCCAGCTGGTGTGCTGTCCATTTATAGCATGTTCTGTGGGAAAGGAGGAGGACCCAGTCTGGAATGGCCTGGGTGAGCAGGGGCTCTAGCAGTTTTTCTGACTTCAGAGTTGACAAATGTGCATTTGTGGAGCACATAGGATAGGAGATCCCTGCTGCATTCTGGGGACACAGAGATGAGTCAGATGAGGTCCCTATCCTCACAGTGCTCCCATCCTGGTGGGGGACAGACCTCCACACAGACACAGGAGAGTGGATCTAGGGGACCGCAGAGGTGATGGCTGAGGTGGAACCAGTGTGGGCATCTGGGAAGGCTACCTAGAGGGGTGAGTTTGAGCTGAGCTGGGACCTCTTGGAGTGTGGCACCTTCTCCCTCCCGGTGAACAAATGTGTCCTGCCCTGGCATTCATGGAAACTGACTCTGGGTTTGAATCAAGCCCAGTTTCTGTTCTCTGGGAGTTCCATTTTGTTGGGAGAGACAACCCCAATGCACAAAATAACAATAGAGTTCTCAGAAGTGTGGGCAGAGGTGGCTGGTAGCTAAGAAACATATTTTTTGAGTCCTTAACTTGTGCCACATGTTTTACATAATCTCATTTAATTCTAACCTCTCTCTAAGGTAGACAGTGCCATTCCTCTTATATTTATTATTATTATTATTATTATTATTATTATTCCTCACCTGAGGGCATTTAAAAATTTAATTTTTATTTATTTATTTATTTTTAAAATAGATTTTTATTGATTTCAGAGAGGAAGGGAGAGAGAGAGATAGAAAGGGTTCTGTTGGCAAGGAGAAAAGAGCAGGGGGATGGCTTGAATGTCATATAGGCTGTGATGTGTCCCACCTTCATTGTCCCTTGAGACATAATCCAACATTCAGTTCTGGGGTAAGTCATTGCTATAATGATGATGATGAGTTCTTTTTAGTCCTAGTCCCCAAAACTTTGGGCATAGGCTTAGTTCTGTCACAAAAACCTACTCTTATTTTCAACAAAACTTCTCTTTCAACCTCAGTAGAGTTTCTACCTTCCTCTCCCACTCCAAGGGCAGTCTCCTGTGACAGAACTAGCTTCCTATCTGGTTCTTCCAGGGACCTGGGCTAAGAACTGCTTCTTCACTCCATCTCGTCTGCCCGCTCACAGGAAGAACATACTGGTTGGGCCTTGACTGCATACATCAGATGACTAGCAAACCAGATGGCTGAGGGGAGAGGAAGGAAGGCTGCCAAGGGGTAACAGGGATAGGTACCTTCAATAGGGCAGTAGAGGGAACCACCTGGCTGGGGGAAGAGAGAGTAGTGCTTGTAAGTCTTGATATACCATCTTCCTAGTAGCTCATTTTAGAGGTGAGGAGACTGCTGCTCATGAGAATTGGGAATAGTTCCAATGCCAGGGCACATGAGGCAGACACTGTTGCTTGCCTTCAATCATTTCCCCTTCATTCTTGCTAACAGAAGCCTGATTTTTTGGGTGGAAATATGCTCACTCCCAGAGGCTGAATTGTGATTGGTCTAAATCATGACTATTCCCTCTTAAAAAATTTTATTGATTTCAGAGAGGAAGAGAGAGAGAGAGAGAGAGAGAGAGAGAGAGAGAGAGACAGAGAGAGAGAGAGATATCAATGATGAGAGAGAATCATCCATCGGCTGCCTTCTGCATGCTCCACACTGGGGACTGAGCCTGAAACCTGGGCATGTACCCTGACCTGGAATCTAACTTGTGACCTCCTGGTTCATAGTTTGATGCTCAACTACTGAGCCACATTGGCCAGGCATAACTATTTCCTCTTGGTAATAATTGTGCTAGAAGTGGGCCTGCACCCCGCTTGGATCAATGAAATATAAGGCTTCATGGAAATACTAGTATTTCCCTCTCTGATAAGAAGAAGGTGTTAGGAGACAGTCTCTTTTCTACCTGTCTCTTCCCTTTCTGCTTTGGGTGTTGTTGACTTGCTTGAGCTGTGGCCATTCTGTGGTCATGAGAATGGCAGGGCCAAGAGAATGGCAGAAAGGTTTACCCTGAATCCAGTGTCATTGAGCCACTGAACCAATCCTAAAATTGCCCTCCTCTAGACTTCTTGTTATGTGAAATCAGAAATATCTTTATTGCTTAAGGCATTGTTATCATATGTTCTATTATTTGCAGCCAGACTTCAACAAATGATATAGCAAGAATGACCAAAATGTTTTATTAACAATCAACCTTAATTGATTGGTAATGGCTGCCATAATACACTGTTATTGATTAATGATATATTCCATGAGCAAGGGATAAAGAAGTGGTAGCGTAAGTGTCATATGTTTACCATTCCAGTCCTACCTAGGGCCAGTCCAATACCTGACACATAGCAGGTGCTCAAGAAAACTGACTTGTTTCTGAATCTCTACGCCCACAAAGCTCTTCTCAGATCAACCCTGTCATCATGTTGCCTTTTACTTTTATTATTTTTTATTTTTTTATTTTTTGCTAAAAGTATTACAAAGGGTATTACATAAGTGTCCTTTTTTTCCCCCCCGCCCTTGACAAACCCCTGCCCTCCCTTACCCCCCAGTGTCTTATGTCCATTAGTTATGCTTATATGGATGCATACAAGTCCTTCGGTTGATCTCTTACTCCCCTCCCTCCTGTCCCCCAACCCTCCCTGGCCTTCCCACTGCAGTTTGACAATCAGTTTGAGGCAGCTTTGCCTCTGTATCTATTATTGTTCAAAAGTTTGTAAAGATCTTTATTATCCATGAATGAGTGAGATCATGTGGTATTTTTCCTTCATTGACTGGCTTGTTTCACTTAGCATAATGCTCTCCAGTTCCATCCATGCTGTTGCAAATGGTAAGAGTTCCTTCTTTTTTACAGCAGCATAGTATTCCATCGTGTAGATGTACCACAGTTTTCTAATCCATTCATCTACTGATGGGCACTTAGGCTGTTTCCAGATCCTAGCTATGGTGAATTGTGCTGCTATGAACATAGGGGTGCATATATCCTTTCTGATTGGTGTTTCTGGTTTCTTGGGATATATTCCTAGAAGTGGGATCACAGGGTCAAATGGGAGTTCCATTTCCAGTTTTTTGAGGAAACTCCATACTGTCTTCCATAGTGGCTGCACCAGCCTTTTACTTTTAGCTGCCAGTGTTCGTGAGATCTTCTTTTTCTAGAAAGGCATGAGATCCAGGTCCTGATCACGACTCTTTTGGTTGCAAATGTCATAACTTCTGTTGACATGGCAGCCTGACTTTCTAACGAACAAGTATTAGAAACTGGAACATTAGCAGGTGTTTCCCTCTGTTTCTTGACATGCATCTCCACTAATTTTACCTCTCTGCAAACCAGCTTTCCTCTTCTTTGTCCCCACAGCAGAAGGTGGTTGACTCCCATAGCAAATTTGTTCAAGACACCAGTCTCAACTGGGTAGCCTAGAGTGGGTTAGATGGTCACCCCTGGTCCAGCTAGCATAGCCAGGAAAGCAGGATCACATGTCAGAGCATGACTTTATGGGTCAGTTGGGCAGAGGAGTAGGTCTGGGCTGCTCTTCTAGCAATATGAAGATGTACTGTCTAATATGGTCATCATTTGCTGCATGTGACTTTTGAATTTAATTTTAAATTAATTACAATTAAATAAAATGCCCACTTCCCTGTGTCTGTGTGGAGCTCCCATTAGGCTGAGAGCACTGTGCAGGCAGGGACCTTATCTGACTCATAAAATAAAAAATGCAGTTCCTCATTTGTACTGGCCACATTTCAAATGTTCAATAATCACATGTGGCTTAGTGCTACTGTCTTGGA